ATGGATGTGTAACATTGCAGTTCAAGACACTTGCTAGGCAGACTGAAGCCCAATGCACCTCTTGCTGCATGAACCTTTGCTGTGGTTACTTTCACACTCAGCCTGGGAACGGGAGAGTCAGTATATATCCTCAATAACATGAGCCACATCTATGAATGGCACTGTCAGAGGAACACCCTCTCAGTGTCTTGTCAAATGCTGTCTTAGTCACTTCTATTGCTGTGAAGAGAAGCCATGACCAAGGCAATTCTTAAAAAAGGAAACATTTAATTAGAGGCTTGCTTACAGTTTTAAAAGAGCAGTCCATTATCAGCATGGCAGAGGGCATAGTTGAAGGTATGACAGGCATGGTCTGGAGAAGTAGTTGGCAGAGAGAGTGAGCCTGGGCCTGGTATGGACTTTTGAAACCTCAGAGTCCACCCCTAGTGACACACTTCCTCTGACAAGGCCATACCTCCTAATCATTCCTTGGTGACTAAGCATTCAAATGTATGAATCTATGGGGCCACTCTTACTGAAACCACCACAAATGCCATACAGATGGTAAGAGGCAGAAACAGAGGTTAGAACTAAAGTTAGTCTGACGTAACACATGTTATTCACCACTCATGCCCTTCTGTTGGGTGTTCTAACTCTGCTAAGACCTCGATACTCCACAAATCTACAGGAAGGATGGGATCTGGGCACTCTGATGGATGGCTTCAGGTTGGCCTCAGTGGCTGTCTTATAAAAGTTTTGGGGAGGGCAGATGTGTTTGCAGGTTAACAGCCCCTCAGAACTCACAGGCATTGTTTATCCCAGAGCATTTGTGCTCATGTAGCTGGGAGAGAAAGGGTTACAGAAGCCAGGGAGGCCTACCTTTCAATCCTGCTGACCTTGATCCATGACCTAGCCTCTGAGAGGGCAGGCCAGAAGCTAGGGATACAAGGACTTCCAGGATCTCCCTGCAGCCTGCTCTTACTTGGTCCCACTCCTCAGGAAGGACTCTCTGTAAGGACCTGGGCAACCCTGCTTCTTTCTTAGAACTCTGACATGTTTTAGGTAAGTCTCCCTCATATCTCTGTGTAGTAACTGTCTGCAGCCAGCACCAGTATTGGGAAGTAATGGACCCTTAATAGGTGGGGCGTAGTTAGTTACTGGGCTGTGCTTGTGAAGGGAGTCTTGCAGTCCTGACCTTTTTTTTCTTTGTGCCTGGCCATGGGGGAAACAGGCCTCCTCTGGTGTGTACTCTTGCACAATGGCCTGTGTTGTCATAGGCCTAAAGTGAGGGAGTCAACTGGTAAAGGATTGAAATCTCCAAAACTGTGAGCTACAATAAACCTTTCTCTTCACCATATGGTGGAAACTTCCTGTTCAGAGTGTGCAGTTACAGCCCAGGCAAAGGCTATACATCCTCAGTGAATGTATTTTCTTCCTTACACTGTTTGACTCTAAAATCTCTCTTCCCTCACACCAATATCATGATAACATACCACCAGAATGAACCAATGGGTGAATCATAGAGCTGTGTCTTTGGCTAGGCATGACAGCTCTAAGAGGATCCTGGCAAGGCCCAGGGACTAGGGGATTTGGTGGGCACAACAATGACTGTGATAGTTGTCTGGACAGAATTCCTAGCTTTGGGTCCCCAAAAGAGCCTGGAACACCAACGTCATTTCTCAGTTGGTTAAGTCAGTGACTCATGCCTGTAATCCCAGCATGCTGAGGCAGGAGAATCACTGTTTGTTTTAGGCTACATAGGGAGTTCCAGCATAGCCTTGTTTACAGTGTTAGGCTGTGTTTTAAGAAAATAAAATGAAGCCGGGCAGTGGTGGCACATGCCTTTAATCCCAGAACTCGGGAGGCAGAGGCAGGCGTATCTCTGTGAGTTCGAGGCCGGGCTGGACCGACAGCCTCCAAAACAATACAGAGAAACCCTGTCTCGTAACAACCAAAAATAAATAAATAAATAAAAAGAAAGGAAAATGAAAAGAAAAATCATTCGTTAATCACTCACTGTGTTCTGGATTCATTCTGCTCTACTTTTAACTGAGACTGTCCAGGCATAGAAAACATTTGCGTTTTCAGGACAGTGAGAATCTAGCATGTCTCTGAAAGCATCCAAGAATGGTCTTCAGGACAACACTGTGTTCCTCCTGGACCCTTACCTGTCCCTGAAGACAAGCAGGGTCCCTGTTGGAGATCCCCCATGGAGAAACAGTGGTGCAATGGCATAGCTCTGAGGGGTCCCTGTCAACATCTTCCTCCATGATCACCCATCATCGCCCTAGCCTGGTCCCTACTCTTGGAGGTTTCCAATATAGAGTTGAAGAGCTAAAAGGGTGAGTCCTCTGTCCTGTTTGAGTTTTCAGAAGGGTCTGGTAGAGGGTTCATGTCCTGCCATGAAGTGGTTTCATCTAGTAGTTTCAAGTCCTCTGAGAGTACATACAGCCAGAGGTCCAGACTTCTCCTCGAGTTGAAAACAGGATCATTGAGAAAAGCCTGGGACAAAAATAAAACTGTGTAGGAGGGACAGAACGGGTGTCATGGATAAAGCTAGCACACCAGAGGCCAAAATTTCACAACCTCCTCCACTAGGAGGGGTCTTTGGCCAGTTGTCTCGTCTTGGCTATGATTGCATTCCATACTGCCTACATTATAGCCCCCGAGGCCCCATCCTGCCACTCACAAGTATTTCCATTTAGCTTTGTAAATAGAATTCACAGGAGATGATCCCAAGGCATCCAGAAAGTTCTCAGTACCAAAGGGCACCTGACTCCTCATAAATCCTCCTTGAAAGATGTTCTGTCAAAACAAGAGCCACAAAGCCTTGCCATGTGTCTGTCATCAGCTGAGACAGGGATGGTTGGGCCCAGGAGTTTAGGCCAATGTGGGCATTATAATGAAATGATGTCTCAGAAAAAGGGGTGAGGGGGCTGGAAAGAAATGTGGTGGGTGAATCCAGGCCAGGCAAGGTGGTGCACAGCTTTAATCCTAGCACTTGGATGGTAGAGGCAGGTGGATATCTGTGAGTTTTAGGCTAGCCTGGTCTACATGGCAAGATCCCAGAAATCCAGGACTATACAGAGAGAGAGCCTGTCTTCACAAACAAACAAAAAATTAAACAACAACACAAAATGTGTCAAATCCAAGTTGGTAGACTGGATGCCAACAGTTCTCCTGTGTAAAACAGGACATGATGGTACCCATCTGAAATGGAAGAAAATGAAATGTGTGTGGGCACTTGGTGCCTGGCTGGAGTGCCACAGGAGCCACAAGGAGCCACAGCTGCCGTTAAATGAGACCCTGTTCCTCTAACCTTTGAGCAGTGGTTCCGTCTTCCCTTATCACCTTCACAAGAAAGGAACTCATCTGTCTTTTGTTTGTGCCAGCACACAGGTCAGAAGCACACACTGAGAAACCTGCTCCGGGAAGAAAAGCTCAAGTTCAAATAGTCTTTGCTGTAGTCAAACATTAGGCTTTGCAAAGTCTGGGAAGGTTTAATAAAATGCAGAGCTCGGAATGACCTCTGGTAGGACATTTATATGGACACTGTCTTTTGTCTGTTTGCTTGGTTTTCGAGACAGGGTTTCTCTGTGTAGCTTTGGAGCCTGTCCTGGGACTCACTCTTTAGACCAGGCTGGGTTGGGACTCGCAGTGATCTGCTGCCTCTGCCTCCTGAGTGCTGGGATTAAAGGTGTGCACCACCATCTCCCGGTTTGAACACCGAGTCTTTACCCTTTGGATTGGGTTGGGGAGGGGAAGAGGAAGGGGGAGGGTAAAGTGTCAAGAAAAGAAGCCACCTGAATCAATATAAAAACGCTTGGCTTGGCATAGTGATGCACCTCTTGTAGTCCCAGGACTAGCGAGGCAGAAACAGGAGGGTTCCTGGGATGGCTGGCCAGCCTGTCCAGCCTAATCACTGAGTTCCAGGACAACAAAAGACCCTGTCTCAAAGGAGACACCTGAGGTTGTCCTCCGGCCTCCCTATACCTGCACACACATGCATGGAGGGATGACAGGAAAAAGGCCAGTCATTGAGCTCCTCCCTAAGAATAAGACTTAGGTCCTCACAGTGCAGGTCCTGCCTTTGTTTCTAAGGTTCCATTAAGACTTTCATTGTTTGCCTCTTTCAATAAGATCTTACTCTAAATGAGCTACCTTATAGATTTGTTTAGACTAACATGCAAATGACTGTTAGGATACTTCATACTGGCTCAATTTTATAAGGAGATGAATTCTCAAAGAAATAAAAACGTTCAAGTGAATGAGTATGTGTGTATGGTAAGAGCGAGGCCTTGCCAGGGACTTAAACACACTGCCATCCATGCTCTGTAACCTGGCTACGGCTCAGGGGCCAAGCCATTTGAGTGTAGCAGACCAGACTGGACAACTTTGTTTTTGAGACAGGATCTATGTAGCCCTGGCTTTCCTGGAACTCGAGCTGTAGACCAGGTCTGAGTGACTTCAGACCCCTCTATTTCCTTCCCGGAATGAGGAAAGTAGTCAGAGGTACGGTATACAGCAACAGAGCCAGACAGAGCCAAGGTCCTCAAAGTAGGAAAGGATTACTTCTGCCAACGACCCGTCTCAGGGCACATAGCATCTCGAGGGTGAAGCAAGCAGCTGTTTGTTCAAGTATTGTTTTCATGTTGTGCAAAGGGTTCTGGCCTTTTAACCTTTCTTGGAGTACCCTCAAGCCTTCTCTAATTACGGGACATGCCAGGTTATGGCCAGTATGTTTAAGAGCTGCTCTTCTCACGGACAGGTGGCAGCAACCCGGATGCTGCTGGGACTCGGTATCTACCTTTGGCCTGGGACTGCAAGAGCTAGGGAGCATTGGGGTGGATTCAGGATACTAGAGAAGATCAGGGCTGACAGCAGGGCCACACCCTCCTCACCACCAGCCATCCTGGTCAGGAAGATGTGATGTAGATAATGCCAAGCGTGCAGGGCCCAACCTCCAGTAGTTCCTGGGAATCGGGCCCCAGCGTGGAACAGATGAGTCACAGACAGTCCAGGAACACAAACACCAGTATATTTTATGTGCACAATTATGAAAAGGAAGAGACAGACAAACAGAGACATAGCAGGCAACGGGCTCACAAGTCAGTCATGTGCCTTTCTCTCTGAGAGCTGTCCAGTTGGAGGACAGTCCTATCTACTTCAAAGGCCCTGTTCCAAAGCTGGGGCCTATAGCTCGTCCAGGTATGGGCAGCCTCAGGGTGGAAGGTGCTTCCCTCGCCTTACTCACAGTTCATGGCTAGGCCTCTCACCTGCCTCCTGCAGCAACACTCTGCACAGCCCAGAGCTTCAGAAATAGATGCTCACATGGGTTGACCCACTCAGCAGCCTCCTGAGAGATCCATGAAGAGTGAGGGACCAGGACAAAAGGGACTCACAGACACTCCCTATGAATTATTGCTGTAAATAAGCACAGACCATTGTGACTCTCTGGCATGAGGAGGGGACAGGGCATACTGGAAGCCTAGCAGACATCCAAAGCAACTCAACCATGCAGGGCAGCATACTATCTGCAACTCTGAGATGGCTGCCTTGGGCCCAGAACATCAGAGGTTCCCTAAACAGCCAGCAGACTCCCCGATGTTCACCCCAACCTTTGTGACCCTGTGCACGAAAGGGTTGGGGCCCTGGAGATAGTCAATAAAGTAAGAGCTGAAGTCTGGGCTATTTAGTGAGATCTGAGCCTGCAGGTCTGTGGCCAGGCCTTACAGTGTAGCCTCCCCTGGCTGGGGTTCTGTGCCTATGAGTGCCAAAGGAGAACAGGGGACCCACATAAGCAGATCACTGTGCTGAGTATTGCCAGGCAAGCAGATTCACTCCATGAAGCCTTCCTGACATGGGGATAAAGGGTCTTGAGAAAAAATGGTGCCAGGGAATGCTACAAGGCAGCATCCGGAGTGCTGAGAGTGGGGGCTACCCAATGGCTTTCTCTGATGGAGAATTGGAGTCTTGATGCTGGGACACCTCAGCAAGCCACTGGATTCAGATGTGAGGTGGCCTGCAGAGGCATGGGGATTCAGGGGGTTGAGATAACATGGAACTGGAGGAAGGGACCTACAAAATAAGGAATTCTCTCCATGTGTAGACAGAAAGCAACCACTCCCTTTGGAACCCTGAATCCCTGCAACCCACAAAGCCCTGGAATCAGGGCTACAACAAAACCAAAAGGTGCTCCTCCCCCTCCCCACACAGAATGGTGTTTGGTGATGAGATGCCGACCCAGGGAAACACTGCATTCTGTCCTGGACAGAGAAGACTTTCTCCCAGCCCAGGACACTCCTGCTGCTGGCCCTGCCCTGGGGCTGTCTGCATACTTCAGAAACCCTCTCCTCAGGTGGCACTGTCACTTCTAAAATGATTTATAGGAATGAAAAGACTGACTTCCACCTCAGAGTCCTCAGGGTGGCCAAGAGGAGACTGCAACGTGGGATGGACACCCTTCGATGGACCAGCATTCTTTCAGAGAGTGGAGGACAAAATCAGAAGGGGCTGGAGTAAGGATTTCATGTCCACTGCCAGCAATGGACCCATCACGGGAGAAAGACGACCAAGCTGACAATACCCATGAGTGTAGCAGGGGTAACGCTGTTTGAGGAACAAGCTCAAAGGGGCAGCTGGCCAGGAGTTGGAGAAGTAGCCCAGAGGTTAGGGGCTGAGCTGAGGTTATGGTAGAACTCATCTTTTTCCAGAAAAGGGGCTCCAAAGAGCCTTCCATGGTCTTCCACATCTGTAATGTTCCCTGTGAGTCTCCAACTAGATACCTGCTCCTCTATTGACTAACTGGCTTATAAATAAACCAGTATGGGAAAATAGGACCTAGAACTCTGGCCCCCCCCACACACACTGTGAATCCACAGAGCACCTCTCGGCCCAGATGTACATTGAGGGAATACTATGCATTTTCAGTGGGACCTCTGCAGGAAGGGGGCACCAGGCTGTCCCCAGCCCCCAGATGAAGGTGGAGGGAAGGCTGCAGGAAGGCAGGTGGGGTTCATTTTAGAGCTGTGCTGCTGGCCACTGCTGTGCTCTGTAGGGAGGGGGGGGGATATGATGACTGTCACAGAGAAGAGGGCTGCCTGCTAGTAAATGTCTTGAACGTAAGAGAAAGGGGAAACGCCACCGAACACGCGGGATTGAAACCTCCAAAAGCCCAAGGTTGGTGGGAATCCAGCACCACAGGGGCCCCCAGAAGGCCAAGGGAACAGCGTGGGGCCTTGGGGGAGGGAGAGGGGCCAAAGGAAGTTTTCCCAGCCCTTGCACAAGAGCCATGCCACCAAGCAGCCTGCTGGCCTCTGGGCCCCTCCCAGGCTGCAGCTCAGAGGCCCCTGGGGAGGTATTGGTTGCAAGCAAGCACCTGAATATTGCCTAATGGGACCAGCCAAAGCCCAGCTGAAGCCAGGGGGCAGGTGGGGTGGTGGCCCCAACATCAGCTTCCCACCTGTGGCCCCAGAGTCTGTGTCCTTCCACCAGGACCGGCCTGCTGCTTCTAAAGTAATCCATGAAGTCCTACTGTTCATTGTCCAGGCCCCAGCCCCCAGGATGGGTAGAGAGCCATGGACCAGTCCCAGTGTCCTTCTGTTGTCTGGATACTCAACTTCCCAATACCATCCCGCTGCCCACCATATGTGGTTGTGATTGCCCTGCTGGGCTAAGACCCAGCGGGGTGCAGGGCTTGTGCTGAACCAAGGGGTAACCCCGCCAGCTTGGCCTCTCTGTCCTTGAGTTCCTAGGAGAGACCTTAGGTCCCCACATTAGTCTTCTGATTTAGTCGGTCTTGACGTGGCCATTGGCCAGGGCTGGCGGACTGGCGGGCTCCCCGGGCTCTGCGTCCTTGTCGAAGCGTAGGCGGAGGGTGTTGCGGATGATAAACTGCTCCATGATGAGGGCCCCACAGAACCAGGGCACAGCGTACTCCAGGGTGATGAGACCCATGAAGTCAAAGTCGAACTGGGAGTAGTCCCAGGGACAGGCGTTGAACTGGCGCAGAATGAAGCCGGTGGTGAACTCCCACAGGTAGGTCCAGAGTGTGTAAATGAGGCAGCGCACCAGCAGAGGACAGCGGCCCCGCAGGCGCAGGTACATGCGCTCCACAATCAGGATTGAGGTGCCATAGATGAAGAGGGCCCACACGCTCGTGACCCCCGGGAACTTCCAGTTAAAATTCACCACAAACTCCCAGGCCGCTGTGAACATCACCTCGCAGAAGTAGCCGTGGATGGCATACAGGTACCAGCGGGACAGCGCTGTCAGGGGCTCGGCAGAAGCCATGGTGACAACTTGGGCTTCCTGGCGGGGATACAGGGAGACACATGAGGGGAACCGCCTTGGACCTTTCTCTGCCTCCTGCTCCCCATCTCTGTGGTGGCCAGGCTGCAGGGGATTTCAAATTTGCTTCTCCTTTCTCCGTCCTCTTTGGTACTAATCACAGTCCCAACCTTCTACCCTGCCGCATCACCTTAGTTCCCCGCTGTCCCTTAGCCAGAGGGGCCTGGGCAAAGACAGGAAGAAAGCCTAAACCAATCCTTGCTCTGAGCAACCCTACTCAAATACTATGTGGAGATGTCTACTGAACTCTGTAACATTAATGGCTGCCTGAAGTTAGTTGAAGAGTCAGCTGCCTAGCCGCCTCGACTCACAGGTGTCTCCCTTTCTCACCAGACCCATCAGGGACCCTGTTTCTCTCCCTGCTTCTTCTACAACAGTTCCAGATCACTCAGATTCTGAGATTTAAGCAGTCTCTCTCTCTCATACACAACACTATTTTAGCAATCTTTGAGTATCTCATATATTTCTCTCTCATATTTATGTATATATAATATCATCATAGCCACATATCACCACTTTTATAGTTCTTAAGTGTATGAAGAAATAGCATTAAGAACATTCACAATGTTGTACAATCATCGTTGCCATGATTTCCAGAACCTTCCTAACATCCCAAAAAGAATCTCTGTACCAGGGCTGGGATGCTACTTACTTGGTAGAGTCTGCCTAACACCATGAAAACTGGGTGTGGTGGTATATACCCGTAACCCCAAAGAATTAGAGGTAGAAGGATTAGGTCATCCTCAGCTACATAGAAAATTCAAGGGATAGCCTGAGCTACACTGGACCTTGTCTCAAAAGAGAGAAGAAGACTGTTGTTAAATGCCAATCCTCCCTTCCTCCCGCCCTGGCGGCCATTATTTCAGCCTCTATAGATTCAACGATTTTCATAAGTTTTCTCTTGTGGCTGACTTATTGATTAACGTAATGTCCTCCAGGTTTACTCAGGTTGTAGCCTGTATTGGAACAAAACCCCTTCTTTTGAAAGATAGAAGGAATTCTACTGGATGGGACATCCCGTTTCTCCACTGTTCATAGACGCCCGAATGGCTTCCGTGTTTGAGCAGTGCTGTTACACACGCATGAACAAGCATCTATTCAAGACCTGCTTCCAGCTCTTTTGGGTCTATACCTAGAAATGGAATCATTAGGCCACATGGTAATGTATAGTGGCCTTTCTGAAGAACTGCTGCATGGGTTGGAAAGATGTCTTAGTGGTTAAGAACACTTCCAGAGGACCCAGGTTCAATCCCCAGCACCCACATGGTGGCTGTCAACTATGTGTGACTACAGTTCCAGGGAGTCTGAAACTCTTCTATGGCCTTCGTGGGTACTAGGCACACATGTGGTCCACATACACACAATACACATGTAAAAAAATATCAAGAACTGTGGTACTGCTTTATACATTTTACATCTTCAGCAAAACATGTACAGATTCCAGTTTCTTTGTATCACTATTAACATTTGGGTTTTGTTTTCTCTGTAATGTCCATCCTAAACTAGACACCTAAATATGATATCATTGTGGTCATGTTTTATTTTTAACTGCTACAGTAGATGGGGCTTGGCTCACCCATTTTCCCTCCTCCTCTCTCAAACCTCACTGCCAGTCTTCAAGGTCTGGCTTCCTCCCATCATGCTTCCCTAAAGCCCTGTCTGGCTCCTAGGCCTCTGACTTTCTTCTAGTGCTCTGTCTTAGAGGGTCTGGACCACTCATGAGGACCATTATCAGAAGCCAGTCTATTTACTTTTTGATGCATGAACCCTTGTGAACAACAAGCTCTCTGACTTCTTGAGTGAACTCCCTGAGAGTGGCAATTTTACAGTCCTGTTACCCAGCTATTGCCCCAGGCCTCTCCTCTGTAAGAGTCTAAACAACACATCTTGTTTATGAAGAGGGCAGTGTGGGAGAACTCACTGTTTATCAAGAATGAGAACTTTTGTCAGCTACCAGTGGGCATCCAGCTTGACATCTGCTAACCCTCTCTCCCAGGCAGGACAAGGGACATAGGTTACCAAGGTGGCATCTGCAGTCTGCCTACCTGACAGAGAATCCTAACACCATCTTTTAGCTACACAGGCCTCATTGCAATAATACTTACCCACCCTTGTGCCTTAATCACATTTTTAAAAACTTGCTCTTACTTAAAACTCATATGAAGCCAAGTGTGGCAGTATGTGCCTGTAATCCTAGCTCTCAGAAGGCTAAGGCGTGAAGATTGCTAGTTCTGGACAGCCAGAAAGACATAGCAAGACCCTTTGTCAACACAATTTAAAAGGGGGGGCTGGTTTGCCTACCGTTCAGAGGTCCTGCACTCGGTTCCCCCAGCCCTGTGTAAACCAGGCATGGCCATACACGACAATACTCCCAACACCTGAGGAGTAGAGGCAGGAGGAACAGAAGAAGTTCGAGGTCATAGTGAGTTCCTGTTCCTGTTCAGCCTGAGCTGCAAAAGATCTGAGAAAGGGTGGGAGAGGGGAAGGAGAGGAGGAAGGGGAGAAAAGAGGGGAGAGAGGGCACTTCACTCCTGTTTTATACGTGAGACTGGGAGAGAATATCATCTGCCCAGGCTGTAAACAGAAGAGCTTAGAGCAGAGCCAGCTCTGAATCCCCACTGCAGACTCAGCCTCCTGCATAGACCTGTGTGCCTCCTGCCCCTTCGTCACTCAGAAGCATGTACGCTCCCCCTTCCTAATGAAACATGAGAGCATCCTTGGCCTGCCATTCAAGGCCCCAACATATCTCTTCCACCTTAATTCTCACTAGCCAGGCCTCCCGGCCTAGGCCTTGTTTATTCTGTTTGGTATACCTTCTCTCATCCCTACAAACACAAACCCAATGTCTTGATGATCTTTAGAACAAATCTCTCCTCTCCCCAGGCACAAATCCTCTTCCTTCTCTGAATTTCCATAGCACCCCACCCCTCCGATGCTGATTGTTTTGATAAATTCCACTGATAATTTTCAGTTCTAAGACCTTGTCCACTTGGTTGACACAGCTTAGACCTCTTCCTTCTGTAATACAGCTAGATTCCTTCTCTTTCCTGAACACCTCCTCCTGTTCCCTGTGGGTACCTCAAGCTCCTTCCTAAGTCAAACTCAGTGTCTTTCCCCAAACCAGTTTCTCTCCTTTGACCCTTCCTGATTAATGGCTACTGTGTCAGATTCACTGACACCCCACAGTGTGAATACAAGGCTGCATTCAGCACAAGGATGACAGTAGTTCTCAATCAGTAGCAAATGCCACCAAGTATAGCATCTGCAAACCATGTCCTAAGACACCCGTCATTTCCTATTGTAACTGAGGCATCTGTGGGTCAGAAGATCTCAGCTGGCTTAAGTCATGAGGCCGTGAGTCATCCAAGGCTCTGTCCTGTGCTCAGCTGGGGAGGTTAAACTGGGGTGACTGTGCTCCATCAGTTTCTCATCTTCCTCCTGGGCCCAGTAGACTAGCACTCGAGGTAAGTGGTAAGTCATAAGCCCGAGAGCAAGCCAGCCCAACCACACACGTGTTTTTTGCTCTGGTCAAGAGAAAGAAAGAAGGGAGGAGGTCACTGTTAATGGTCCAGGGTACAGCTGGAGATAAGGGATAACTTCTAAGGTTCTGTAGTACACTAGGTTAGTTATGGTTGATTGCAATTCATTGTGCATCTCAAAATAGCAAGTTGGGAGGACTTTGAGTGCTCTCAATAAAGGACTCATGTTTCAGGTTATAGCGCCAATCACCCTGATCTGATTATGCATTGTGTACATACATGGAAATGCCACACTATACCTCATAAATACGAAAATTTACTACTTGTTCCTTAAAGAGTTTTGTGTTTGGTCGGGTCTGATGTTTATCCTAGTCTGGCTCCTGAATTCACTGTGTAACTAAAGATAACCTTGAACTTCTGGTCCTCTTGTCACTCCCTACCAAGTGCTGGGACTGCAGGCAAGTGTCACTGCCCAGTGCAGAGTGCTACAATGGGAATTAAACCCATGGCTTCCTGTATGCTAGGCAAGTACCTTATCAACTGAGCTATATTGCCAGCCCCCATTCAAGATATTTTTGATATTAAAATTATTTAGATTATTTTCAGAAGTAAAAAGGCAACCAGTTTTTTTTAAAAGCCCTGATTAAGCCCTGTGAACATCTCATTGGTCAAAGAAAGTCACATGGCAAAGCTACTAACCCCTGGACTTGGCATCTTTTGAATCCCTTGGGAATCCATCTCCTCATTTGCTGCTGTTCTGGTTCAACTGTATCTCACCAGGCAGCTCCAAAAGTCTCCCAGCCTTGCCTTGCCTCCTTCCAGTTCAAAGCCATAGCAGAAGTGTATAAGAGGGTGGTTTTCTAAAACGCCAGTCTGATGTTTCTCCCCATTAAAAGCCATTAGTGGATCTTGAGCATCAGCATCCCTCAGACAAGGCTGGCACAGTCCTCCTGGGCCTGGCTCTGCCTCTGGATCCGGCCAGCTCTGTGCTTTGGATACCAGCATCACTGTCTTTGTGGGATGCCCTTCCCATTTGCTGCCTTTGTACCCTCTTACCCCTACCCCTATCTGCCATAGCCCGAGAACCTGCCACTCTGCAAGACTCCAGCGCTGTCCACTGACCTGTGTGCCGCCTCCACACACCTTGTTCATCTGTCCCAGCAGCCAACCCTCTCTGCTGTGATTTGTCCAAAGGCTAACACCGTAACCATCTGAGGGACATCTCATGCAATGTGAACAGAAAATGCCAGGACTTGAGGCTGTGAAATTAACACTGGGTTTCGCAAAGGTGTACTCCCATGTAAACGTGTAAAACATTCAGCACACATTGTCATCGGATGAGATTATATATGAGTCTGTATTACATTTTTCTGTATACGCTAAACTTGGCCAATAAATGGATCCAAGAAACGTGATAAAACTGATGTAGGGTTTTTCCTCCTGTGCCATCCTCAGTACAATTCACAACACAGGTGTGAACAG